TGACAGAACTTTGCTTATGTTTCAAAGTAAAGTTTTCAGATACCTGGAACATTAAAAAGAAAAAAGATGGTCTGGGCATGGTGCTGATTATGATTCAATTGATTTAATTATCATTCACTTCCATGGATAAGGTTTGTCACCTCATCCTGTTCGCTGAATTCTGCATGATGTTTCAGTCAGCACACTCGTTTGAAAGAACAAGTCATTTTTATTTGATTTACATCAATTTCAAAATCATTATTTACTGTTGGGCTCCTGTTTCTCTTATCATCAAATTGTAACTGTGATCACCTTTTGGCAGTCTGGGAAACAGCTCACTTTCATTTGTCATGGTGGCTCCCCTTGTTGTGCACACCTGTTGGATATTCATATCAGGGGCATAGTTTACATGAGGTGCTGCAGCTGTGCAGTACTCTATTTAACTCTCTCCAAGTAGTGAGTATTTTTTTTTTCTTTTTGGGGTGTGGTTCACTTTTAATGGCCATAATGCAAGAAAACAAACAAAAACTTCTGTTTTTGTTGGGGCCCTTGCCTCGACTTTTCCTAATTTTGTTTTTTACATTGGTTTGCTTTAGGCAGGGATACAACCTTTGCCTCTTTGAGTAACCCATTCATTTGTCTGTAAGTTGCCTATCTTGGTCAAGGCTGTGGGAAACCAGAGCTTGTCCTAGTTGAGCAATAATGGGCTGAAAAGCACAATAGTGCTCTTCCCCCTGGTATAGCAGTACATTCCAGGGTCATGGAGAAAGGGATGATATAAAATAGTCAAACCTAGCCTGCACCGAAAAGCAATTCTAATTCCTGTAACCTGTTATTTAAGTAAAATGCAGATGCTAAATTCTGATTAGAGAATTTGTGAATTCTCCGATTAGAGAATGCTGTGTAGAGCATTATCCATTGTTGTAGGCCAGTATCTAGCTGACTGAGGAAAGCACCACTGAAGGAAATGGCTACAAATATGCAGCCCTTGACTCAAACAAAATAAATGAATGGATCATTTTCCTTCTATAATGAGGAGTGTGTTACAAAAGCTACAAAATGTATCCTAGGTTTTCCACTTCAAACCACTGTCTAAAAGCAACCTACAGTATATTACAAAGGGAATTCCTCTTTTTTTTAAGGAAGAGAAATACAGTGTAGTCTTTTTGAGTTTGTCTTCTTTCCGTTTTTCATTTTCTTGAACTTTTCTCAGGGTCATTAGTTAAGCTGTCTTACACCATCTCCTGTAGTTCTTTATCAACATCATTGTTGTATAATTTTATTTCTTACTTTGCTGCACTTCTGGTTTTATTTTTTCATACACTCCCTATTGTTACTACTTCTGCTTGGATTGTTCATTACCCTTCTCTTAAAATTATAAACCTGGTCAACAATTCTAAATACTTTCGTCAGCACACTTCCTTTCAATGATTTTGTTTTCAACATGCCCTTTTCTGAAGCTATTTTTACAGTAGTAGCAATCAAGTTAGATAACTCAAGCAGAACCCACAACACAAAATGGCACAGAACTGAAACAGCACTGAATTGCATACTGTGCTTTTCAACATATCGACAATGATGCTTTGCAACCCAAAGCCCCTTCTGATCCATGACACCAGAGTAAAGAGTGTGGTGGAACAGACACTTTGATTGCAAGGTAGACTTTTAAGATTTATTATGCAGGCTTGGTTATTATAGGGCATTTTTTTTTACAAGAATTGCTATTCTTTTTATATACAATTTCTTGGCATTACACATTCTTTACTATATCAAGCCATAGTTACAATGCTCATACAAAGCACTGTTGAAACAAAAGAAGACTAGGATGTGCAGGTAGTTGCCACCTGATCCTTTTTCACACTGCAGAGTCAAACTTGCAGTTCGTCCCTGACCAGGATCCAATCCACTGTCTTTCACTACTTCAAGCCAAAAAGTTGATAGTAATCACTGTTGCCACTCTTGGATATTGGTCTGGAATACACAGAGGAGTGTGAAACACTTTAAATCAACACATTGTACTGAACTGAAACTTCAGTTACTGTCTGGGGAATTTCAGAATCTGGTTAATTATTCACATATAAATTCACTTGTTAGGTCATGAACAAAAACTGATCCAGGTGGTTGGTTTTAAATCAGTTATAGGAAGAAAAAACTGAGAAACCATGATTAATATTCCACTGTTCAGTGAGATGGATGTATTGTATTTTAATATGGTGATGTCCTATGCATCCATTCTCCAATTAAATATTTTCTGTTTGCTTGCTTCTTCCCTTGGGTCTGCTGGCTCTAGAGAGGATTCAGTTTTATTTTTAGACTTTAAATCACATTAACTCTCCTGTCACTATCACAAATAGAGCTTTGTGCCAAGTGTCTGTGATTCATGGTAAAGTAGAAAAATGCAGAACACAAACAAGTGCTAAAGAGACACTAGTACCTGTATTTAAAGGGATATTATTTATAGCCATTATCTTTTCCAGAGCTCAGATGCTAGACGCCTGTTAGGCAGAGCTGAGAGCTCAATAGATCCAGAGGATTGCAGAGAATTTGTGTAAATCCTCCCCAAAAGCAAAGATACTAATCCCATAATTGGACTGGGCCCTGGCGAGGCATGTTAACTATCAGATTATCTCTAGGTCATTAATATAGTTTGAGGACTGCAAAAGGTCAGGTTTGATGTCGTCTTTACTCAAGATTGCACCTCAAAAATGTCAATGCAGTAGTTTATGTGAATAAAAAATACAGATATTTGGGAATTCAGGCATGCAATATCTTGCTAGTTTCAGACAATGGAGGCAAGATGCTCTTGACATGCAGGGATAACGGGGATATTTTCTAAAGTTTTATTTAGTTAGTTTCCCCAGTGGTCCTTATTGATTTTTTTCAACCAAGGCCATTATTGGCAATCTTAACCTGTTATTTCAGAAAAAGAAAGGCTCTCGAGAAGATTGCTTGGGTAATCACAGACCACTTCTCCACCATACTGTATATATGAAAGCAATGCTGAAAGTTGCTGCTGAATGTACACTTAAAGAGTTAACAGCAAAACTATGAAGATCTATTGCTATGGGCAATGGTGCATACAAAGCTGTACCTTGTGAGTCAAGGGTTAATAGGAGTCTGATGTGCAAGTGAATGAATTCAATGTTCTCATTAAAAACCTCTCCTACAAAACAAGAGAATGTCAAACCTGGGAAAGCCAGCTTCATGCTGGTAGAAAAGGGGAGGCCCTGACCAGAAGAATGGGACATAAAGTCATTAGCAGATTTCTAACAATTTTCTCTGTCTCTTTACAGTCATTTGCATTAGCCAGGGATACTCCTGACCTTTTGAGCTTTATCGGTTGTATCACTGTAACCAAGTGAGATAAAGAAATTTCAGAAGATGGAGAAAACCACAAACAAAACAAAAAAACAATAAAAAATTCAATACACAACAAGAACACAAGTCTCTGTTTGCTGCAGAAAACCTTAGGAAGTTGTAATTGAGTACTTATTCCATCAATCACTTGTTTTTGTCTAGATCAAAAACCAAGTGCTACTCTCATTGACACGAAAGCTAGATTCTTGAGTATATCCATGTCTATAAATTAATGAGAGAAAGTCGTTGAGGCATGACAGACCTCAAAGAAATTTAGTGAACACTGCTGAAGCACCCTGCACATAGAAGTTCCTGCCACTAATAAGCACTTGAACATGCCAAGCTTTTACATTATTTTTGAACTAATTGAGTTGTCTTCAATAGAACACTTCAGAAAGAGCATGCTTGACAATGTGATTTGCTTTGAGTCAATGTCTAGTACTTTTTTACAAACCTTGAAGCTTCAACAGAAGCTGAAATGCAAAAAGACAATATATCAGACCTCTTCAACCCTAGTCCTGGAGCTGTGTTTGAGAGTGTTAATGTCAGCCACATCCCCTGTTGCTTCACTAAATACTGAATCATTTCCAAATAGTGGCCTTTTAAAGTGTGTTTAAATTCTCAAGCAATGGGAGATGGAAAGGTAGGGAAGGTACCTGCAAAAGTTTCTAAGCAACAACAAAATGAACAAGTGGATTTGTGTGATTATGTTTAAAGCTTAATATTATTTTAGTTTATTTTGTAGAAAGCCGAGAGTACGGTACAACTGGAAACTTAAACCAATAAAAACATGGCTACTCCGGGGTTAAGGTTAGGGTTAGACTCAGACCCAGTTTTCTAGCTCTTATATTTGGTTGAGCGTGTTAAAACGAATGCCATCTTTATTCAGCGTTTGAGGTATCTTTCTGTACTCTATGTAGTCTAAAACATTGGGCCTGATGTAGGACTTTATTGGGTAAAACATTGATCTGTTTTGCAATACAACTCTAAATTGTTATTCTATTACCACAAAGTAGATACAACATAGAACTGTTTGTCATTTAACTGCAAAGTGTCAAGATGGCAATTATCTGCTTCTTGTTATCTCACTGTGGTGTAATGACTTGGGAATGGTCCTGGAAATGATCCTTTTTATAGGTCGGTTGAGCCCCATAATAGGGGCATCAGCCATTGGCACTCACTCTTACTGTGTGGTTGTCCATGTGCTGTGATATGAGCTGTCAAAATGGGGAACAGGGTTGGAAGATTTTAATGTTTCTTTCAGTCACCTCCTTTAAAAGCCACAGTGACCAATGTTTGAAGATCGAATGTTTCTAGCATCCTTTAAGGAAACAAAAATATTCTACATTTAATGTAAAGATGGTATTGTCTTTTTTCAAGATTTCTTTCATATCGTACAAATAATATGGACATACCCCTATTATTTCAAAAATAATAAAGATGCCAAGGTAGTAAAAAAAAATGTGAAGGAATAGTTACATGTTAGAAAGTAACGGGAGTAATAGGGCTATCAGTGCATTAAGCTTGACAGTAAGCAGTGGATTTTGTTTTCCATAAATACAAGTTATCATGTAGTTTTTGTGTGCAATAGACAAAGAAAGCTGGAATTCCTAATACTTCCATAAACAGGTGGTGCTCAGGGAACAGCAAAAGGCAGCTCATACCTGCTTCCACAGCCATCACAGTGATGTTGTGCCAGCCTGCTGTCTCCCTGTCCAAGATCTTGCCCAACGTAATGGCTCCTGTCACAGGGTCGATGTTAAAGATTTTCTCTTGGTCAGTGCCCCGATCAATGGAGTACCTGACGGATAAACGGATAAGTATTACAAACAACGGACCAGCCATGTAGCATCCAATTCTCAATAAACAGCAAGATAAATTCAAAGACAGATGGCTGCTAAACACAGAACAGAAGAAAACAAAATGAAGCATCACACACGGCACCATTAGGCACCATGATGTTTCGAAAATGACTTCTATCTTAGTATTAAAAGATACAGTACAGAACTGTCAGGTGTCTCAATGTCACTGGGTACATTCCAATTTCACCCCCCTGTCAATTTGAACTAATTTCCTTTCAGAATGTGACTTTCTAAAACCATCTTTTTGATGTAAATATTTACATTTTCCAACACCATGTGTCTTGAATGAAAAACACAAAAGAGAAAAACAAATACTGCATTAATAGACATTTGTCTAAGGGAACGCTCACTGCTTATTTCCTATTTACAGTATTTCATCTGGCCCTGTATATTTCATGACTGTCAAAGAAATGGCACTGACTGTAAATCTGCCATATACTGCACAATTATAAAAATATAATACCAGAAACTGTACTTCATCTGTCCTAAAGATATGTTGACTAGTGCTTTCCTACCTTGTGATGTTGCTCAGTCCTCAGCCTTATAAATGCCAAAAGATACAATGAATGTAGAAAAATGTTCACTACACACAAGCTGCCACAAGTGATGACTAATGTTACCATCTTGCATTTCAACCCTCACTTTAACTGCACACTGTGACCCTTATAATACCTATCCATATCCATGTTTATTCCAACTCTTCTTTTACTCACAACAATTAAATATTTCAACTGCCAAATACATTTTTTTCTATTCTGTCAATTTACTGAGTACTTGAATTCTGTATCTAAACCTGCTAACTTATCCAAGAAAATCAAATTGCATTGCCAAAGAAAGGAATTTATTTTCCATTGCGTTCTACTTTAAATTGTAACTCTATCACAACTTAACAGTGTTAAATAGTGCAATAATTCACCGTGCCATGACACATTCAGGTTATTCTTATTACTAGCACATCATAAATATGGAAATATGACAATGGATGATAAATAAACTTTGTATAGAAATATTCATGATTCCCTGTACTACAAAGGAAGATGGGTGCTGTCTGTAATTTAACACAATAAAAATTAAATATAACCTCACATTTTCAGTTCTTATGAATGATAATCAAACCATTTTTTTTCTTTTTCAACCACCACAGACAAAATACTGAAATACAGTACCTGTACTTCATTGTGTCCAGACTAAAAGTCAGGTCACAATAAACAAAAGGAAAAAATGTAACTGACCATTTAGCATTTTTGAGAAAGGTATCTTCAACTATTCTTTTATCTTGCCTCGTCAATGAAAGCTACTGTACACATCCTTAAACACTTATTTTTTTCAGCCTATATGTAATTCTTATAGATTTTTAAAAGACATAGTTGTACACCATTTAACCGCTGTGAAATGTGATTAAAATGTAGTGAGTACATGTGAACATTTCCTTTTTTATATGCAATTTCTTTTAAATGTTTAAAAACGCACACATGAGTTGATACGATCCTTAGGCATTCAAGTCAGAAAATTTACAGTAGAAGCCTATGACTCATGGGTCCATTTTAAAACTCTGAGTGTTACCAGTCCCCTAAAGTTATTTTTAAAAGAAAGTCTGTGGGCATTGACACAACAAATAAACAGACTTTTTTATTTGCTCATAAGCATCAAAGAAAGGTTAAGAAACTAAAAATTAAAGCCCCAGGCCAGATAAAAAAGTAAGCCTTGAGCCAGGATTTAAAAGCCGTCACAGTTTCTGCCTCCCTAATTTTCTGTGGAATGGAGTTCCAAAGGCACAGTGCTTGGCATGGCAGCTAAAGCCCAAGCCCCAGAAAACACTGTATGAATATATTATGCAGCACCCTGATAAGAACTGATAAATTGTCACTTTATGCAAGCACATGAGGGATTGTCAGGAGGAGACCCCAACGAGTCCGGGAAACTCACACAAAGTGCTTAAATTTATCCAGAAACCGAAGATTAATTCCTGGGTCTTTTGGCGTTCATAAAAAATCATGGAATCCACCAAATTGACAGACGGTGGTCTCACGGTGTGAAATCTATCTAGTGGATAAAATGTAGCTCAACTTACTTTCTCTGCCTTTTAGGTGTATGTCCACAACATCCACCAAACGTGATTTCCCCAAAATGGCTATAATAATTCGAGATAAATTTTTGCTTTTCCTTACTGTAGCTCATATGAGATGCACCGAGCAGCAATAGTGGTTAAGAAAATCATAATATTTCTTTCTCAAGAGGGAGGTGCACTGAATGCAATTTTGTATTGGAACCATAAAAGCAGTACTGGAATATTTTATTCTATTGTTAAAATACTATTTACAATATGCCTGTTGGGAGAGCTAGTGAGCAAGGGTAGAAAATCCTGTTAACCCATTGAATAAAAAGTTTGGTTTGATATATCTTAAGTTTTTCAACTTAAAAGCACCTTAGACTAAGTCCAGGTGTGGTGCCTGACTGGATACTTGCACCTGGTCTGGCAGTATTACAAACAAATGTGAACAGCACCTCAGATGAGAACAGGAGCTCACAAAATTTACTGGTCAGGACTACAGCAAAAGAATATGCCTGAAAACATTAGACTGAAGTTGAGGCCCTTAAACCCAGTGTGGTCCATTGCAAGACAGTGTAAGACAGTATATGGACTCTCACCTCCATATTTGTTTAATCAGTCCCAAGTAGACTTAGGATTGGCTGTCAGCAATCCCTCATTGAAACTAACTCTCATTGTATTGCCTCTATTCATGACTAAAGAGACTCATCTCTTTTAACTTATAGAAAGATGATAATAACCTGTTTTTTTTCATACATCAGTGATAAAATGATGAAATACCACAATCTAGGTACTGTAATACTAGACAGGGCTTTATTAGTCCTCTGACCAATAGCAAAACTTTGCAGTTTGCATCATACAATGGATGTATAGTATGTGGCCAGTTCTTACATCCTTGGGATGATATAAAAGGCTGCTAATGTTAGCAGGTTTAATTAAAGATTCATAACCGATGAGAAGAGATGTTTGCATCTCAATTACTAACAATACTGAGTGATTACAATAACTGCTTAAACTTGAAGTAAAATATTCCTATCCTTTTCTAGAAATTACACGTTGCTCAACTGGAATTTGGAATCTTGACCATAGCTTAGCTTAGACCAGGGGTTGCATATCCTTTTTTAACTTTAAAACTATCACCCATATAGTCTCCAAGGCCATTTAGTTCCCAAAACGCTTCACCTTTTCATGTATCACCTTCCAACCCAAAACTGAACTGACACACAAGGATGGTTGCAGCTAGTTTACAGAATCACACTTGCAGAGAGCCGATCCTTAAGGATAAGGTCCTCTTTATGCTGCAGCTTGGCATGTCATGTAGTTGGTCGGGGTTGTAGCCGCTATTGTTATTTGTTCTTTTTGGAGCAATGGGAGGAAAGCAAGTGAAGAAAGGTCTTTATGTGCCATCACTGTTTTAAGAGAGACATCAACAGCAAGAATACCCTGCAGGGAGCTACTATTGTGGGCCAGCACTCTCACCACAGGGAAAAATCTAAAACTTACTGAACTGGCAAAATCTTCAAATGTAGATAACACTTCCTTCTGAGTCTCACTTTCGATGCACTTTTTTGTTATAGAGGACACTTCAGTTTTGTCTAGCTACTCTTCCAATAGCTGAACTCCAGCACTTCTTGCCATGTTTTGAATATTTACACTTCCCCTTGAGCTTTGCTGAAAATCAAAGGAAATAAAATGACACTTGACCTTTGAGCAAAGTGGTAATGAGGTTTCCGGCTGTGCTGATAACTCTTTCTTAGTCTTTCCCTTTAATATTTCAGCTTCCACCACATCTAATAGTTGGGTGAGGTTATTTGTCTGCACTGATTATAATTTAAGTAGAATGTGCCTCCTCTTATTTGAACATGCTTTTAAACAGTAGGCTCTTCTTTACACAGAGAGCTGTAAAACAACAGACTGAATTGACTGTTAATAATTATTCTCATGGTTTCTTTAAAATGTTATTTGAAGATTTGTCAGTCAAATTAGCTACATTATTGGGGTATATATTTTAATGTTTATTATCTGTCATTTCTTATATGTAAGGCAATTTAATTGGACTAATTAACTTTATGTATGGAAATAATCATGGGATTTTCATTTTATTGTTATGGTAAATACTTAAGGGGTTACAGCTGTTATAGAGATAATAAAGCTAATAAGAATTTGTGCTACAGCCCATGAAAGGTCAGTATGACTATAAAATAACCTTTTTCACTTTGCTTTTCATGATAAATAAGGAGGAAGATACAATTTTTAAATAAGATGAATTACTAGATTTGTAATGAAACAATAAATAAAATATGAACTGCAAACCTGCTTATAATCCAGGTATTCAAACAAACAGAGGTGTGATAGATGTACTGTACATGTAGATGTAGAGAAAACTTTGAATAGATGCATTCATGATTATCTTTGCTAAAACAGATGTTGGTTGCACTCTATAATTTAATACAAATAAAAAATAAGACACAACCCCACATTTTCAGTTCATAGGAATGATAACAAAGCCATACTTTCCTTTTTTCAACCACCCCCAAACTAAACACTGACATACTAGCACTAAACTGTAACAGAACGCAATATTGATAAAGATACAGTAAGTCTGTACTGCAGGGGTGCAAGTCAGACTCCAGATTTTGTTTGCAATGCAACCAATTATGCCTGTTAACTTCTGACAAGCAACAATACATAAACAAAAGGAATAAATATTAACTGCAGCATTTTTGTGCAGGATATCTTCAAATATTCTCTTCTCTTGCTTGTTCCATTAAAACTACACATCCTTAAACTGTAGTATTTATTTCTGCTTATATGTAATTCTTACAGATTTTTTAAAAGACATGTTTGTACAGCATTAAACTACAGTGAAATTTGATTAAAATGTAGTTAGTATATGTGAAATTTGCCATTTTTATATGCTATTTCTTTGAAATGTTTGAAAACGTACCCATGAGTTCATAACATCCTTAGGCATTAAACTGTTAACTGTTAACTAAGTGTAACTGTTAACTAATTATAGCTTCATGTTCTCAAAGTGAGTAAGTATGCTGATATAAAATAATAAAAAATAATCAAAGTGTGGTATTAAGCAAATGGAAAAATGCTTCTGCAAAAACAGGAATATAACCCCTTTAAAGAGGAAACAATTGTTTGATTTCATAGGTAAAATGAGCCACAAAGGGAGAGAAATGGGAGTCATTTGTTCTTGCTTAAAAAAAACGTCCACAGAATAGTGGCACAGTCCATGTGGCTCGGAGCATTCTCTGTTTCACCCAGTCCCTGGTTAGAAGCCCATCAGAGCAGTGTTGCATTATTGCATATGAGCGATGGTACTCCAGGCAGTAGGTGGTTGTTTAGCAAGCCTGATAGAAAAGATTAAAGGGGTACCAGTGGGTAAGGCTGTATGCCAGTGAAACAAGGCAGCCAGAATTATGCACTTTGTTACACCTGGAGCTCTTTCGTTTCGGCCTCATGTTTATTTCATGATGGTGATTTGCTGTGCCCGTGAGTTAGTATGCAAGTGTGTGCATGTGTGTATGCTTGTGTTATGTCCCCAGAATAAAGTTTTTTTTTTATCTTTAAACTGCTCTACACTGTTGGCGTTGCGGTTGCTGGAGACTTTTCCTTTTCCCTGATAGACAAAAAGAAGACCGGGAAATAAATTGCAGAAATGAACTGGAGGTGCCGACTCACACGATGCTGCCGGACGCAGCAGCCACAGCAAACAGAAAGGAGCAAACAAACCAGAAAATCAATCAATCTTGACAACAGGAGGATTGATTGTGGACAGTGTGCTCAATTCACACAGAGCTGCCATTGCCATTACTAGAATGAAAACGAGGCTAAATGCATAGAGAAGCACATGGACAGCACAACAAGTTGCATTTCATACAAGTCCAGTTGACCACAAACTCGGAATAATACAGTATATACTGTACCTATTCAGAAGATTATTGTAATGTCAAGTTCAAATAACATTGAAAGAGTATAAGGCATTGATGAGCTCACATCTTGTTTTCAGGGAACTAAATGTACATTTTTACATTCAGAAACTCAGATAAATGACAGCAGTAATTGCTACAGATTGTTTAGTATATTTATTCTAACTCTAACTCTACTTCATAATCAAGTTCTCAGATAAAATCATAAGAACATGAGAAAGGGTGTTTAGGGTTCAAACAAAAGGAGGCTATCTAGCTTGTTTGAGCTAATTAATCTGAGGATTGCTTCCAGATGTTTCTGAAGGAAACTATGGTTCTGAAACTATGGTTCAACAAAATGGCTGGGTAGCTTAGTAGCAGGCTCTCAGTTTGAAGTATGGTTCTTAGCATTTGAATTTTGTCCTCTGGTCTTGTTTCCCTGTTCTATAAAAGTCCACAGGTACATCTATACATCTATTAGGTCCCCACATAGTCATGTGTTTGAGACGTAAATGATTTAGTTTTTTTTAGCCTAGTAAGAATAACTAATTCCTTTGGAGACTGAGAAAATATCTGGTTGCTCTTCTCTGTACCGATTCCAGAGCAGCAATACATACCAAACACAAGATTCTAAAAGTGCTCATAAAATTACATTGTAAAAATTTAAATAAATTGTAATGTAATTTATCATGTTTTATTGGGGGTCTCTCAGAAGAATCTGCAGCAAAAGCCAGACTACATCCCCAGCTCTGGCTTTCAGCCCACTAACTCTTCCAAGTGACTGTAAAAGAGAATTTAGGTAACAAGTAGTGTACAAACAGCTTGCAAGAGCATGAAGGCTTCCAGACCAGAGTCAGTGATGTAATCTCACTCATACTGAAGAACCTTCTAAAATACAGTTTAGTAGAAGTAATACATGGTTATTTTTATGCATGGTGAACAGACCACCATCTATTGTCCTTCTGGGTTTTTCTTTTCTTACAGTTCTTTAAGGCTGCTGTAACTTTTGGCTTTTTGTTCCAAATAAGCTTCAAATTAACTTTTATGATTCTTTAAATGGACAACTAATAATTAAGAATAAGTAGCTGTCAACTTCATAAATGCTCCTGATTACAGGGATAGAGCTCCCTATCCAACATTCTCAGCTTCTGGAAAGGTGTCCTATTTAATTAATGATTAGATTAATCAATTATCTGAGAGCCCGGTTGGGCAAAAAATCAAGAAAGCACAGTAGCTCTCTGGGGACTGAATTTGACGTCCTAGCTTTGAAAGGTCCATCCTTGAAAAATGGCACTCTTAACAGGCTACAGTTTTCATCTCATGTAATGATATGTAATGAAACTTCTGACCACGTTTTATTGGGTATAATTAATCCTGCATTTAAATAAAGTAAAATGCATGCATTTTTAACAGCATAGATGTCTGCGGAATAGTCGTCTATCTCAGTCTGTATACAGCTGGAGCTATTTTCAGTCAACCCAAGTGTAATTCACAAGCCTTGACTGCTTAATAAGAAGTTCCATTTTCATCCCTCAGTTTTTAAGAGAACCGAGTTTGCCTCCAAGTCAAGTTATTTTTAAGGATCTGACCCTGACAATCTGAGACAAAATAACAGTTATGTATGACCTATTCCTATGGTGTTCTATAAATAGATCCATTTGACATGACTCCAGTTCTGCGTGCTACACTGATGATGACAGTGTAGGATGGGAGCAGTAATGGAATGCAGTACAGGGGTTGCATCCACACTTCAAAACATGTGAATCTTCTCCTTCACTGGCTTAATGCAATATAATGAAAAATTGTTTACCCGATCCTTGGCTGACCCTAGCAAAAAGGATACAGCTTCTTCAGAACCATATTCCTGCACACTGAGCAGAGCCAGTTACTGTACTGTACTGTATATCTAGCTGATCACACTACAGAACTACAGAACAGTCAGCAAACAGACTTCTGGTCTACAACGGAGATTTAAATCTGCTCCAATGTCCATACACAATTTACCGTGGTCAGTTCTGTACATTCACCACATCTGACCAGTCACATTGTGTTCAATTTCTAAATGTTCCCAGTGAGGACAGGATCTTTGTTTAACACATTATTAAAAAAGAGACAACCTGTAATACTGCCTGCGACCGTAATCAAGCGCTGCTTGAGAATTTCTGATTTACTGGTGAATTTGTTTGATGTGTCAGTCTTCCTCTAATTTTAAAGCACATAAAGAAAATGTAAGCAGTTTTTCAGTGACAAATGTCCACCATTCTCTCCTGTCATACCTAACAGGTGCATTCTCCATGTCAGGGTCCATAGCCGTCACAATGCCCACCAGTGCCCCAAGTCTTGCGTCCTCCTGCACAGCCAAGATCACACCCTCCGGGGGACGAAAAAGGGGAGGCTCGTCGGTGTCTGTCACGCTCACCCGAACGATTGTCTGGTCCCGAAAGGAGCCCAGGTCCACAAAGCGAGGGTCCACATGCTTGTTGACAGCTTCCACCACAACATTGTGAGTGCGCTTACTCTCAAAATCTAGGGGCTGAGAGAACAGGCAAGCATAGTCACTGACAGAGGAGTTAGCAGGTGCGCAGTGGAAGAAGGGAACAGGAGTACATACTGTAACAACAAGAGGTATAAAAATAGGGAGAAACCTTATCTCTAGAAAGGGCATTATTTTGTTTTCACTTAATACTATGACCAATTTTTCATGTTTACAATTTTAATGTTTTAGCATTTTATTAATAAACAACAGGCAAAAAAGACTCATGCACTCCTATAAATGAACTGCTGTGAGATATTTGTGAATGGCATCAAAACACTTTTTCACTTTAGATTGGGTCAGCATAAACAATGCAACCACAACAGCAATTCAGTTGCATAATCTGGGGGCATGTTACAATGTCACTGATGGGGATGATTAACACTTAAAAGAGAAGAACAGCTGTGCAAATTAATTGTACAGTTGTATGTACTAATCAGCACTCTGTGGGAAGAAGTGGAATCAACATATTCACCTGGTTAAAGAGATGGGAATTCCTCGTACACACACACACCTGTATTTTCATTCTCTTTTTTATTGGTGTACTTAATCAAATGCAACATCATTCTGGTTTTAATTAAGTGCATCATTTCCACTTGATTGCATAAATAGAATAACCCGGCAACTATTACACAAGCAAATCAGTGCATATACTCATTCAAATTATAAATTTGTTCTCAACAAATCAACTCCTAGTAATTGAATCATTGTCTTGCCCAGGTCTAGAGAAGACAGTGCAAAGTCACAGACTAAATCACCAGCAACTGCAGGGTCATATTGGCCATAGATCAAGATGTGTGTTGTTGTTTATCATTGTGGATTTAATGTTGTCTGAAGACATTTATTTGTACTGTATTTCCAAATCTGAAATCCAGCGATTTCTCCTTCCATTTGGCAGAATCGAGCAAATATTGATTAAGCTTGCTAAATACAGGAGTTACTTTTCTGCTGTACAGTATACACAATTGCTATAAACAGATTCATCCATGGAGAATGCTTGAGGTGTAATGCACCATACAGTACATGAACATGCCGTGTTACATTGCAAGGTAATGCCCAACATTTTTTTTTCCTTTTAATCTTTTCAAATAATCTGATACAGGACTGTACTACTTTGTAAAACTGACAGGTGGCACAGTGAATGCTAAACGTGTCATGTGTCGCCCATTAGTGCTTTCCTGAGCTAGTCATCTTGTACGGTAACACTGACAGAACTTTTCATTTTCTTCACTTAATACAGTATACATAATTACTAGCATTTGTGAATAAATAGTAATTAGAAAACATTATTTTCTTATTTGTTACATGAATATTAAAAATAAAAAAAAACTTTCAAAAAGTGGGCCCATGTAAATGCCTTCTGTGCCTGTGCTGGTGACAATAGATCAAAACAAATATGTTTTTCAACAGCATGAAGTTATGTCTGTAGAAAAGGCAAAAAAGTTGAATTAGAAGCAATAGATTGCTTCAGTATTTAGAAATGCACATGATAACACATTAAGCAAGGAGAAAACACCTCACTAATCTAGGACTGTCATTAAAATAAGACTCTGTATTGAGATTCAAGAACACAATATAATACATTTGTTCTATTTTCAATTACCAGTTTATATACACTTTTGTTAGAATGTAGCCTTTAGACCTTTGTAAGCTACTCTGAGTTAATCCGCTGCTACATTCTGTTTTAATTGTTCTTTTTGCTTTGTCACCAAATAAGAACATCAAGAATGTCAGTGTTATTTCATATTTATTTTTTCAGTTTTATAAAATAAATTGTTAAATTTTGAGATTCTCTGTGTATGGACTGCACATCTTTTTATTGATGCTTCTGCAGTTTTTTCTTTCAAACCAATGACAGACCACAAACAGACCACTATTTATGATTTTTCCCCCACATTTTATTTAAATATGATAATATCTATGCCCTAATTGTGTTTTCAGAAAGCTTACAGTAGCCTTTTGTTTTTACACAATCATCAGTTCATTCTGCAAGAGTTACAGATCAGCACCTATTTATGTGAAATGCATGCATACTGTATGACCATATACTGTAAATTAAAATACCATAAACTCAGAATAGGTTATAATTACTGTATACATTGTGTGTGAGTATTGGATTCAAGCTTTATTAAAGAAAAACTAATCAATCTTGATACTGTATGTCATTTAAAAGACCCAATATAATGTTAATTTCCCTTATTAAGGCTAAAATGGCAACTCTTGTGGTTGCATTAAGATATTGCAAACAGATTTAATTTAACTTTTGATGTAAACACATAGAAAATACTGTTATTCCAATGCAAAACAGCCATCCCTACTCTTAGTATTTTAATATTTAACATACTGTGACATATAAAATTAATACAGATCTATACAGTATTAGTTATTTTATTTTAAGTGTATATTTTTAAATACTAATAGGTGTATGATATTCAAAGACAAATACTGGAAACATGATCAGATAAAGTATAATTTATATGACAACATGACCTGTCTCATTGAACCATTGTCGCATAGCTCCATGAATTTGCCCCGTCACCCCCTGAGATATAAAGTGTTGTATTTCAGGGTGTGACATCACCCTTTGATCAATAATTTGATCGTCCTAACCAAACAAAGATGCTGTTTGAAAAAAATTCTCCCAGGTTGAATGTATAAATGATTTAATGAAAAATTCAGTTAAATGAGATTAACATATGGTAAACTAACAACTTAACTAAGCAAACTTTACTAAACCAGACTTTTCACTATTAATATTCTTAGACCTTTCCCATGATTACTGTGTTAACTGTGTTATTTACATTCATATGTGCATTTTAAGTGTGCACTACAAAGTAACTACAGTATATACTGTATGTACATAGAAATTAAAAAATAAAGACATTGATTTAAATTTCTTTTTTACCACACTCGCTTGTGATATCAAGGCCTATTTCATTTCAGCACATTCATAAGTGTGGATATTTTGATTTGTTTTGGTCAGTAATCATTGCACACTTACATGACAAAACCCAGAAACAAAACAATTAAATTAATGTTCACAACTGCAACAAATCATTTCAAGTTGAAACTTTTCCATGTGCTGGGCAGCCAGCTACTAAGGGTGTCAGAGATTGTTAACGTAAAGTGATTATTTTACAGACTGATATATCAAATGAATCACAATTGTCAATATAGTATGCATATTAGATCTTATTATTAGAGAAGGAGTTTATTTAATATTTTCATTCTAAAAATATATTAGATATAATGGCTTTAAAAACACCGTTTTTCACAATTTGTCCAACTAACAGCTGTGAGCTGCACCTTTCTAATGCCGTGGTTCCCCACCTCCTCTCCCATATTAGTCCTACAGGAAAAGCAAGTTACCATACACTCAAAGCTTTACAGGTAATGGAACCTGCCTTCCACCACTACCCCCACCTTGATGATATGATTGCCATCAAAGTGCACCAGTACGCAATCTTATCCCTCACTGATAATTCAGCCGTCCTCCAAAAACCCCCAAACCTCCAACCACGACTTATGAATTAATTCATGAATCAAGCCTTAAAGCTGTAGACCTATGATCTGGAGGCGGTCCCTCAAAAGTGCTGCCTTACAAATTCAAAATTAAACAAGCCTGAAATCAAAAGAGGGTAGGGTCCAGATATGCTCACCTTGCGTACAATGATAACAGCTTCCTGAGTGTCTCCATCAGTGGTGACGCGGAAGAGCTCCCCTCCTTCTTCGTCTACAATGAAGTAGCTCATGTCTGTGTTTTCTCCCATGTCGGCATCCTCAGCCATCACCCGGCCCACCGGAGTACCTACTGGTGCCCCTTCAGACACTGAAAACTGGTACATCTCTGCCAGAGGGGAAATAGAAGAAACTACTGTAACAGTGCAGCTTCCTTTACATTTAATTACTTTATTTCAGCAGCTGACTCTGACAGCAGCTCACAATGTTTAAAGTCAGACTGAAGTTTATCTAATTAATAACTAATTAATAAAGAGATAACTCAGTTAATTGTCACAATTAAAGCTTCCCAAAGCCTGTTATTACTTCAAGAAAATCAGGAAAGAAATGTGACAGTGTAGTCTTTATTATCTGCTCTGTAGCATTAGCAGAAAAGGGAGACAAGTAGGAAATCTAAAGTTCACCTTTTTGTAATAAAAATGTGGGTCATTTTATAAGTTCATGTTACTTTTTCTGATAACTTCCATTAAAGTGATGTAAAAGCAAAACACCTTAAAGAACAGAAATACTTGTTTTACCAAAGCAGCTAAAAGCTCAACTGTGATAAATTCTGCCAAGGACTGCGGCACACTAATTCAAACATCCAGAATTACTCTGCATGTAAGGTTGCTAAACATGCACAAATAGGCTAAATTTACAATCTGTCTGTAAGACATCCACATAATAAGACAACACACAGTGATATTAGCTGACGATGTTTAGCTATATTTTTGCTACATTGTATACCCACATATAATTTTAACATTTGGGTTTCTTGGATGAAGTGCCACAAAAGTAACATTTAGTGAAGTCTCTGTTATATTCACAGATTTTATTTAATCATATAAACTTATCAAAATGTATTTTACTATTACTACACCATGTACTGCAGTAGTTTCCTTTTGTACTTTCCACCTTTATCTTTTTCTTGTACAGTTAATGCATTCAAATTGTTTTGAAGAAGGATCAACTATTGGAATTTCTAAAATGATATAGTGTTTCGTAACTGGTATCAATGTTCTTCATTTCACAGACTCCTTTATGCAACATGACTAATGTGGTATAAAGGAATCAAAATACAAGATTCTGTGCACTCAATGTGATCCTATTTACTACATTATTTGTACAGTATATCATATAGTGGTTATTCTGCTGCAAAAGTGATTCTACAAACAGTAATACAAAGTGTTTTATCATATGGGTTTTCCTCTATTTCAACAAATTACAAAAAGAGCAAACACTTTTTGTTCTTTGTGTGTCCGGACTGTGAGTAACTCTTGTATTGTATTGTATGTATTGTACTATTATTTTATAATTTTTTACACTGTGGCTGTGTTGTGTGTGTTAAGCTGCTGTTGCACTGCAATTTCCCTCACAGGATCAATAAAGTATCTATCTATAATTTAAAATGTCATATAAGTTCATAAAATGCCTTCTTAATATGTGTTTTATTACAATATGTTTGTATGAAATATAGTCTGGCAGGCATTGATTATTGTTTTCTGCCAAGGACATCTTCAGACTGCACGGTGGCACAGGGGTTACCATTGCTGACTTGCAGTGTTGGGGCCCTGGGTTCAATTCCTGGGATGCAAACTCTGAGGAGTTTGTATGTTCTCCTCATGTTTGTGTGGGTTTACTTTGTCTGCTCTGGTTTCCTCCTGCACTCCAACGATATACTGGTAGATTAACTAGAATCTGGGAAAAGTGGCCCTGGTGTGAATTTTTGTGTCTACAGTATATGTCTGCACTGCGACATCCATCCAGGGTGTAACTTGGCTTGTGCCTGTTGCATGCTGGGATAGGCTCAGGCTCCCCAGCAACCCTGCTGTGGATAAAGCATGCAGGCATGTTGTGCACATGTAAAACCCACATCATGGAGCCTTTGCTGTGTCAGATTCACACAAGCCACTTTCACTTGCTATGTTTATTTCAGCAGTTCCTTAGTAGTAGGACTGGGGCTTCTTGAAATTCTTTTGATTTTGCATTATGACTTTAAACATATTTTAATCTGAAAATATTTCTTAATCAAAATGAAAAAAAAACTACTTAATTAAAGAATTAAGTAACTTGTTTTTTT